GGTTAAACTTTCACGAAAGTTGTATTCACATCATTTGATTAGTTTTTGAAATATATATTAATAATAATAATATCTGTCTCTTATACACATCTAGATGTGTATAAGAGACAGGTGTTACTACGTGTGAAGTCTCGAAAAAACCCCGGTGTTGAATTTGCTGGACCCACAACTGCATCGAATATTCGGTGCGCATGCCTAATGGAGATTATGGCTAATATTAGCTTTTAATTTATTTGAGGCCGATGTATAATGCTTTTCTAAAAGACTGTTATTCGCTAACACCTATTTACGAGATTCTAAACCCCAAGACAATTCAACGTCAGGACAATGAATTGTTAAAACCTTTGTGATGTGAAGGCGAGATTGTTCCAACAAAATAAATAGGCATCGCCACGCTTTTGGAAACAATTCAATGTAAAAAAATTAGAAATACGTCGCCATTAGATGGCCGAAAATGGCACTCTCATAATTTAAATATAATATTCAGTTTCTTCTCCATTCTTTAACAATAATTTATAAATATTTACCAATGCCCGGACCGACTGGTTTCCCTTTGAATCCGTAACTGCATGGGGGAATCCTCTAAAATTCAGGTGGCCAGGGTTTTAAAACGAATATTGCTTATTACAAAAATTACATAAAAAATATAAACGAACATACTCTTGAGAGAGGACTTGATGGTTGTTAAACACAATTTATGAACTACAGAGATTTATGGAGAACAATCATAAAAAGTTATAACTTTGCTCTTTATTAACCAGGTGCGTTCGATAAAGAGAGAGAGAGAGAGAGAGAGAGAGGGGGGGGGGGAGGAGAGAGAGAGAGAGAGAGAGAGAGAGAGAGAGAGAGAGAGAGAGAGAGAGAGAGAGAGAGAGAGAGAGAGAGAAGCAAGATATCGTCTGTGCAGTTTCGTATTCGGTTGGTGGGAGTGGGGTCCTCAGAGGTTGAAAGAAATAATAACTGCCCAATTTCAAATGTTAATTAACATTAAGTATTCCCGTCATCCAAAAGCCAGAATTCTTAACATTCACCTCATCCTCAACCAATGATAGGGCTCAGGTGAATATAGTAATTGTCCTAGTTTTTACGTAATAAAGTACAATTTTCTGACATCTAAAAGTCTCGGGTTCTTACAATTGTCTCACCTCAGCCTCAACCATGGTGGGCCGAGGTAAGACGACACAAGAAACACACAAGACCTTAAAATTGAAATGACCCTCAAGTTTACACCCGAATTTGGATCGTCACCAACACTTCTTTGTAACTAGGTTAAACTTTCACGAAAGTTGTATTCACATCATTTGATTAGTTTTTGAAATATATATTAATAATAATAATAATATCGTAATCCACCATCTGCAAAGAAGATAGAAAAATATATTAAAAGCATGTAAGGCCTGCGCATGACTTACTTGTAAGTAATCCGGTAGCAAACAGCTTTTTAAAATCGCATACGTTTTTAATATTAAAATTCGCAATTTATACGATTTTTTGTAAAATATCACAGTATGTATGGTAAAATAAGTATGAACGTCTTCGTGACATTTGATCCTTACCTAATCGTATGGAATTCAATTATTCATGATGAGACATCAGTACATTTAAAACAACTGAGGGCGGTAGTAAATTATATGAAAGGTCATTTTATATTAGATGTAGACAATTACATTTCTTCTGTTTGTTCGTGTAATTTATTATCTTATAGTACATAAACATATTGCGATACATAATAATATAATGCAATAAAGATAATTATTACCATGTTCATCCATCTATAACCTAACATGCTTTTGTAATACGAACGCCAACGACAGCAATGGAGTATCGTACATTTTGGCTCGTGACGTCATCTCTCAATATCTAAAATCCGCGGCGTATGGTAGGCAAAATCTGGGTATTAATTTTTTTTTATGCGACGCATCAACAAGAAACGATCTTTACATAATATATCTAACCTATGGTGTTCACTGCCAAGTTTAAGCAAGGGCGCAGGTAATATTTGACTGGACTAAGGGCATTAATGCTTAACCGCTAGCCTTTAATTATACACATAACTCTACTTCTGTGTACTTAATTATCCTCTATCTCAGATCTCAATGTACAGTATGGTAATGATTATACGTTTGTGTAATAATTTACAAAATGTAGCGAATTCATTACACCACCACCAACCCCTCTCATATTTTGCCAATACCCTGCATCACTACTGAAAAGTGATCATGTATTAACGAAGTTTCTTGTATAGACTAATATTTAATTATCTGCCAGCCGACATATCTTGTTTGAAGATTTGCATGGCTAAGCAACAATATAATAAATGCTTGCGGTACACCATTTAGATAGTTTTGAAAAGAACTGATGTGGTGTTGTGAGAATGTCTCGACTTTTCGTGAGTTGCTTCAATCGTCGACAATTTTGCAAAGAGTCCAAACTTACGTGACTGAAAAGTAAGATTGATGCTGATTGGTGGAAAATATAAAGCTGGGACTGGGTGTGAAAAGGCGAGTACAAAAGCCAGTATTCAGTGTCTGTGTAAATGTGGGGCGTGGCTAGAAAGCCCATGACAGTGGCATTGTGTCTAGCTTGTTGAAGGAAAGCCAATACAATGGCATGGTTTGCAGGGTTGTGTGAAATGTGCTGTTTTGATTTAGGTCCGATTAAATATGGACAAAACCAAATATGCGTCCTGGTAGATTACCCTTGGAGTCCGGGATAATGTGTTGGTTGTACTATGAAACTAATGGTATCGGCTTGTAGAATTCCTTGAATCCGTTGTGAAAGTTATCTTACATCGAGAATAATAAGGATTAACCTGTAGCTGAAGTGGTAAGGATGCAATAAACAAGGCAATGCATTATATAGTATATAAAAGTACAATTGTCCTAGTCAGTACATGTGTTGTTGTATACAGTACAATACTAAGTGAATAATTAATACGAATGACCAATAGAAAGTCTTGTATAATATCTATAATGAATTCTCCTTGATATAAATAAACCGTAATGTAGTTCAGAATATTATATTGCTTTGTTTAAGATTAATAACTATGTACTTTAGTTGAGTATTTATTAGGTATTGCATTTAGTAACAAATTCACAAATGAATGGCAGTACTGTTTAAATCAGAAATCATTTTTGTTTTATTAATATTAGACTTTTCTATCGTAGTTCCTAACAACCACAGCAACAAAGAAGTTTGCACTAAAATGTATTCAACAGGGTTGCTGAATTATGTGAGTTGTGATTATACCGCCCTACCTTTGTGCGAAAAAAGTAAGTGTTCTTCAAACAGACATTTTGCTTAAACATTCTGAATGCTGTTGCAGCAGCATTTGTATTAATTTTTTTATTTATCTTTATTTTCATTTATTTTTTTTCATTTTCTTAAATTTTATTATTTTTTATTACTTATAATAATAAAAATAATAATAATAATAATAATTATTATTATTATTATTTTTATTATTGTGGTCTGTATATGCTTTTTTGTAAATTAATTTAATGACAAGTAAGAGTTCTATGTTTTAGTTGCAATCGCTACTAGTATCATCAAGAGCAAATTTAAACATAAATAATACAAAGTAAAAATAATTATAATGATACAACACCCCAGAAAATGAATAATGTCATTTATTATTGATGTACTGCATTTGGGTATGTGAATATACAATACATATACTGTGTGATTTTTTTTTCATGAGTATAAAATAACGAATATGAGTATTGCATGTTTTCACTCTATTGTATTTATATTAAAGATGTTTCAAACATCTGCCCTCAAGAATATAATTGTCGAAATTCATCTGTATGCTTACCATATGATAAACTTTGTGACGGTTTGAAAAATTGTCTCGAAGGTGATGACGAATATTTTTGCGGTAGGTACTGTCTATTTTACTGAAAATTTACATAACTTACATTTTTATACTACGCACATAGTATAATACGCACATAACATTCACGGACAGTCTCCGCATACAACCAAATCTACATCTACATGCATACATACAGACAAATAGACCCGGATAAGACCTTCCTCCCTTCTAATTTCCAAGCTGTTGTCATCATATTTACAATTTTGGTACCCATGTACAACAGTCCCAATTCGTAATGTTTCATAATAACTTGATGCCAAGTCGTGATAAAAACACACCATAAGCATTAACGACATGAGATTATTTTTTCTCAGACTATACTTGTCCAGCTGAATGCACATGTAAAGACTTCAGAATTAAGGGCAATAAAATCGAATGGAATTCAACGATAATAATCAAACTTTCATTGACTGACTTGTAAGTACATTATCTCAGTATGTAACAAATTATAATGGTAACAATACTATCACTATAATGGTAACAATGCAATAAAGAAAAAAAATATTTATATACATTTTGGAGTGTCCAAAATTCAGAAACGCAGTCCTTCATACGTTTTTCTCGAGCGAACACAGGAGCAGAAAACAATTTCTTGATCCACACAGGATAGGTTAATTTGCTGGTCCACACTGACCAGTAATCAGCTGGTCCACACAGGACAAATGATCAGAGACTCCACACAGGACAGTAATCGTCTGGTCCACACAGGACAAATAATCTGCTGGTCCACACAGGACAGTTATCAGCTGGTCCACACAGAATAATAAAATAATCCGCACAGTACAATAATCTGCTGGTCCACACAGGACAGTATTCAGCTGCTCCACACAGTATAATCAGATAGTCCACACAGGACAATAATCTGCTAATCAATACAGAACAATAATCAGTCCGATATCTGCATATGTCAGCAGCAAACACAAAAAATACCTCACTCTCTTTGTGTAGATTTAATAGAAGGTAATCAGACCAGTGGCGTATCTAGCAGAGATGTGTATAAGAGACAGCTACTAGTATCATCAAGAGCAAATTTAAACATTAAATCATCGCTCATCCAAAATGCAAAAAAAAGAACATTAACTATTTTAATTCTTTAATTTTTAAAACTACTGTATTTGAAATGCCATCCGATTTTACCTAATAGATCTGTTGAGTATCAGTTTCGGTGACATCACTATTCATGATGCCGTCAACAAACCTAATTAGGGGATTCTGATCAGATAATTGATGTGGAAGTGTATCAACATTTTATTTGTCACCGAAACTGATCACTTAGGCAGAATCGGCTGGAAAAACCATGTTCACTTTCATAAACAATAACCTTGTCTATATAAAAGAATTAAAACAATATTATTTTCATTTAATCAGCCTCAAGGCGTAAGTTGATGCATCCATTATGTTTCGAAGATGATTTGATATTGTAAATTAGTAAATTGGCGGATTTTAATAAGTGGATTTTATTTGATTCCCATATAAAAGTTTGGGTTTTAACCTTTTTGACGTGCTATGCTGCTAGTTTTTGTGAATCGTGAGTGTGTACCTGTGTTGAATTTTTAACTGTTTTTTCCTTAAATGCGTAGAACTTGCTATTAATGGTATTTTCAGTACCGTATTTTAGTTACTTACAACGTATAATTTTACCGTAACTGCCATCAAATACCTGAGTGAACATTGTCACCTGCTTCATTTAAATATTGAGCTTAGAATTATTTTCTTTTGTTTAATATCACTCAACATGATTTAAATTACACAGTCTTACCTCTTATGCATCATAATAAGAATATGTCCATCTCAAGCCCCTATTCTCGGAATGAACTCTCCGATTATAGCTCCACGACTAAACGACGACTGATGTATTTAATCGCATATACAAGAAGACAACCTCAGTTTGAAGTCACACCTGTGGTTACTGTATGGTTCAAGCGCTTCACAATACCCGATAACCAAAGTAGAAAACTCGGAATACCACATCACTCTGAGTTTGCTGATTATAATTTCCGGTGATGTATCATTAAACCCAGAAACCAACTGCGTAGATATCCAAAATGCTACAAAGGTTTCAACAAAAGAAGTAAAATAGCGGTTTGCATTGTATGTAAAAACAAGACCAATTTGAAATGTACACAAGAATCTTAAGACATTCGTAATTCTTTAAGATGTTGTGATTGCAGGGTGGAGGAGTATACTCTTATGTGAAAGAGGATTATTGCTTTTATTTGTAGAAACGATATAATTATGCGAAATTACGAGGCTGTGTTGGTTGATAATATCCTTCGCAATACTTAACATTTATGCTTTTACTCAACTCATAAGATATGCGACTCATTTTTCATTAAACACCCCTTCTTTACTCGATCATGTTCTGATTAATTTTCCTGATCGAACAGTACAATCAGGGACATTAAATATGGGTATGAGTGATTATGTTGTTATTTACTGTACTAGAAAAATAAAATGAACAAAGTTTGGTACACATAATACTATTAAAATGAGATCAATGGAAACCTACTGTAAACAAATACACTACTACTATCGAAACTCAATGCTAGGAACTGGAGCCATATTCCTAATTCTAATAATGTAAACCAATGTTGGGAAAATTTTAAATATACTTTTGCTAATATCCTAGATAGTATTGCCCTACGAAACAAATCAGAATAGAATCGCAAAAGAACCTTTGGATGACCGGAAAAATTCATTTAAGAGATAAATATTTGTACGCATATAACAAAAGACCCAAATAATAGTAAAAGATAGAAAAGAATTGTATAAGAAATTCACTGCTCTTAAAAATAAACTCATCAAAGATATCAGAAAAGCTAAATATAGCTCTTTTAAAAACAAAGTATATGAACATAAAAATGATTCTGTCCCAGCAAAAATTTCTGAAGGATGGTGCAAGTGTACTGAAAATCCCGTTGACGCATTTCATCAACACTTCAATTACGATGGGGTGTTTTCTGACGAATGAAAACATACCAGGGTTAAACCGCTCTATAAATGAATAAGAGAAACGATGTCGGACATTACCAGCTAATCAGTGTTTTACTTAACATATCCAAGGTAATCGAGTTCTTTTCTAACTTCCAATTACAAACATACCTTAGAGAAAATAATATAAATGATTATCAATCAGGATTCCGGGTAAATACTTGACTGAAACGTGTCTCATTCAATTACAAGACACAATAAAAACTGAATAAAGTAAAGGTAACTTAACAGGCATGGCCTAAATAGAGGTAGAGACAACATTTGATTCTATTAACCATAATTCTATATAAAAAAATTGAAACAAATTGTTGATAATACTAACACAGTATGATGGTTCAAATTATATCTCAGCAATAGGAAACAGGTAATAAGCATAAATGTTATTCTTTCCGACTCGATGGCCATAAATTGTGGAGTCCCCCAAGGTGGCATCATTGGACCCGCACTTTTCCCTTTGTTATAAATGATGTATCATTGAGTGTAATTGCAAAGTTTTATTATACGCCGATGGCACTTTCCTCATTGCCAGTGGTACTGACGCACGGCTTATCTCTAAGACTCTATCTTAAAATATTAGGTCATATGAATGGTTCCTAGACAATACACTGTCTATCAATCGAGGTAAATCTGAGTCCATTCTGTTTGGTACCAGAAAGAAACTTAAAAGTTCCTCTGGTTTGTTTAAAGTCACTTGAATTGACAAAGATATTGTTCATAAACCGTGCTAAAAATACCTGGAAAACACTCTTAGTGGAACATCAATGGCACAAGGCACAATTTGAAAAAAATAATTCGAGGTTGAAATTTCTTTATCATAATATAAAATCTTTAAATAATCAGACTATAAACATTCTCTGTAATGCTCTTATCCAAATTCATCACGACTAGGGATCTACTTCATGATTTGATGGACTTACCAATGAACTTAAAAATAAATTACAAACAGCACAGAATAAAGCTGTGAGATTTATTTTGGGGAAAAGAAAATAGACAATGTTGGCTACTTTTTAATATTAAAAATAGGGTAAAATTATTACAACTTGTGCATGTATACACCATATATTACAGAAATTCCATTTTACTATGTATTCCCATTTCTTTAAACCAAGTACCGCCCATAGATATGAAACCCGATCTATTATGTTTAACTTTAAAATCCCTTGCCTATTAAATGGTTTATAACAATCCAGTTTTATTATAATGGTATAAAAAACTGGAATCTCCCCCACATTCCATTAATGCCATTACCTCTATTAAGCTTTATGCGCAAAGGTGAGGTGATTTTCTTTTTCCCTTATTAATTAGATAGATTTATTGTTCATTATGTATAAGCGCCAGTATTCATAGCTCCGTGTTAATATGGAGCTATGAAAACTGGCTTTTATACACAATGAACAATAAATCTAACTAATTAATAAGGGGAAAAGAAAATCTTAAAATTATTGATTTAATACATTCAACTTTTGTAAGCTTACAAAGTGCATCGACATTGAAAAATCTGGACCCTACATTCTCCTAGCCATTTATCGCTCAAACCACTAATCGATATGGCTGTAAGCTGAGATCCCATCGCATTAAACAATTATTACTCACTTTTTGACTTAATTAAGTAAGTCAACAAATGACGGTCTCTCAAAGATAAACTGTCGGCCATATAGAAATAAGTTGAATTTGAATTTGGAAATGGCTCATACGATAGCCAAACATTCTCGGTCAATAACAGAGTAAGCACTTTAGCGTTGGAAAAAATATATACTTGCAAAGCATATGGGATGCTTTATACAATCTTTCTCTTTCTTCAAAACTGCCCCAGTACCTACATCCGACGCGTCTGCTCCTAAAATATATGGTTCAGATGTGTCTGGCAACATCAACATTGGTTTAAATTCAAACCTAGATTTCAATGTCCCAAATTTTCTTAAGCATCTCCCTAAACCAATTTTGTGGGTGCGCCTTTTCGTGTTAAGTCAGTTAACGGTACTGCTATTGCTGAAAAATTATGATTTGCGATGATAACCCAATAGATCAACAAATGACTCTACCTCCTTGTTAGTCTTTGCAGCCGATGTCTTGATAATCTATTTTCTCCTGTCTAGGCCTGATTTCAGGAAATTCTAGAGTTTCCAAAACATTTCTTGTTCCACACAGGATAGTTTAATTTGATGGTCCATAAAGGAACAGTAATCAGCTGGTCCACACAAAACAAATAATCTGACCGCCCCCACAGGACAGTAACCTGCTGGTCCACACAAGACAAATAATATACTGGCCTACACAGGACAAATAATCATACAGGCCACAAAGGACTGTATGCTGCCCCACATAGAATGATCAGATAATCCATACAGGACAAGATGTGCTCGTCCACACAAGACTGTATTCAGCTCCTAAACAAAATATAATCAGATAGTTCATACAGGACAATAAACTGTTGATCCACAAAGGAAAGTTTTAATCAGGCAGTCCACACGGGGTAGCTGCCTCTGTCAGCAGCGCACACGAACCAAACTAATTGAGTGTCTGATTTTCTGTGTCTCATTACTAATTGCTTGGTCCTTTGTTTTCTGACTCACACCCAATCTTTCATTTTGCATAGCAAGGTGAAATTCTTTAAATTACATAGAGCTTAAGAATTGTATACCAACTAACTTCTAACAATAAAATTCACTCACAACGTTACAGAATGTGAACAAGTTAAAAATTATACAAGCACACCACATCTCTCGTACAAGTACAACGACGCATGACAAGAACATTTATTCTTTCATCATTAACTCCACCTCATCCTGAACTATTTAAAAAAAATGAAATAGGGTACAATTTATCATATTAGTATTTATTGCTAAAGGTATGCATGGCAATCTAAACATCAACGTCTTTAAGTACATTAATAATAATCACAGACACACGTACCCAGACCAACTTAAATTCAATCATGCATTCGCCAGGACAAACACATTAAAACTTACCATCTTCAACTCTCTCAACTGTATCTGGGATACATTGCCAAATAAAATGAGGAACGAACTCATTTTCGAATTAAACATATTTTTAATCAACTCAAAAATCACTTTGTTCAGAACTAAAAGGTGTAGAGCCAAACATGTATATAATCACAGACACACGTACCCAGACCAACTTAAATTCAATCATGCATTCGCCAGGACAAACACATTAAAACTTACCATCTTCAACTCTCTCAACTGTATCTGGGATACATTGCCAAATAAAATAAGGAACGAACTCATTTTCGAATTAAACATATTTTTAATCAACTCAAAAACCACTTTGTTCAGAACTAAAAGGTGTACAGCCAAACATGTATATAAAGTTAAATATCTATATTATTTATGTATAAAAATATTTTAACATGAAACAATCTATTTTACCTTTATGTTTCTTATGTATAATTATTATTTCATTGCTAGTGGCAATCCGTTTAGTGTTAGCCAGCATTTTTACTTTCTGTTTCTTTGTATTTGTTATTGTTGTTTTCTGTCGTGTGTTGAATTAAAAATGGTAATTATTATATGACGATATATCATTTATTACCTAACACACTAAGCATTAACACGCAAGCATCCTAACCACCGAGTTACAGTTCCACTCTGACGTATAATAATAACACGTTCCAGTTTACTTCTGTTAATTGCTTGTTCTCTGTATGTTTTGAAGGGATTTGTCTGGTAAGAAAATAACTGATCTATTGCAAGTTGAATTCAATGGTTTAATTAATCTTCGATGGTTGTAAGTAAAGTTCCACAAGTTATCAATTCTGTATTAAAGCTTCCTAACACTCAAAGCAAATCGCTAGGCATTTTATATTGTTTAGTATACAAGAAATTTCAAAGTATGTTCATGGCATTAATTTGTATCGATGACGACATTCAAATGAAGAAAAATAGTATTCCAAATTATGATATGACGATATATCATTTATTACCTAACACACTAAGCATTAACACGCAAGCATCCTAACCACCGAGTTACAGTTCTACTCTGGTGTATATATAACACGTGTCAGTTTACTTCTGTTAATTGCTTGTTCTCTGTATGTTTTGAAGGGATCTGTCTGGTAACGAAATAACTGATCTATTGGAAGTTGACTTCAATGGTTTAATTAATCTTCAATGGTTGTAAGTGAAGTTCCACAAGTTATCAATTCTTTATTAAAGCTTCCTAAAACTCAAAGAAAATCGCTAGGCATTTTATATTGTTTAGTATACAACATTAAAATGAAAAAAATAGTATTCCAAATTATTAGGTTGTTAAATACCAATAGAAGATCGTATGAT